CAATAGGTTGTGGTCACCGGTGACCGCTCGGTGTTTGACAGTTTAAATGTCACAAACCTTTAGCAATATGTGCACCAAGATTTTGGAGAGTCAGTTGCCAAAGAACAAAAAAAAAAAAATGTGCACCAAGCTTCAACGAAAATTTAACACTTTCGGACCTTTTGTTATTTCAAATATCTATTTTAACTAGATTATAGTTTACTGTGTTTAAGCCATAGTTAAAACAAACGTACATACACTGACGAACATCTTAAAGTGCCTAAATCGGTCTTTAGTGTTAGTTTTAAGCTTATCACGATTGGAATTCATACAAAGGCTACGCTGTAGGTTATAATAATATATTGCATAACAAGTAAAACATGATTTTCCTTACGATTTTCTGCCCCATCTTGTATTTTTCAGTCAAATCACTGATAGAAGGTTAATTTAGCACATCACTGAATCACTTCGTAATCCAATACACACTAACACGTTAAGGGAAAATGTATCGTTGTAATACAAAAATAAACAATAATGAGGTAATCTGACCCTAAAATAATAACATGTGACAACAATTGGTTTGTTATTGTTATAATGGGTAGACAGAGATGTCGGGATTTAAGGTTATAAGTGTACGTATATAAGAATGCGGAAAAATATGACTTCCGACCCTTGTGCCTACTTGTAAAACAGAACACCGGGGTGGGGTTTAGTCAGTAAGAGTCTGACAGTCCCTTTCGTCCTCCCTAGGCGAGGGCTATGAGGATTTCCCACCTTAGTATCAAAAAAAAAATATGTTCATTTAAATTCCGCCATATTACTATCATCAATAACTGAGACAAATCACAAATTCAAAGCAAGTTCTTAATAGGTAGTTACTTATCCAATAATGGCTTTTGATTAACCGATTTATCGGTAGATATTGGATATACAAAATTTAAATACATTTTACATAGAGTTTATTGTCAAATACCTATCAAATAGTCAATTGGGATGATGACAGTGTATGAAAATTAAAAATCTAATTGGTCCGTAAGTTAGGTAATAAAAAAATATTAGAAACGTTTTTTTATTTTGTCGTATAATAAAACAATACTTAGATAAAACGGATCAAAGTTTAGGAGTGGGGGCTAAAATGTCATTTCTACGTATAAAAGGTACATAAAAGTGACGTCACGCGACATTTCAAATCGATATATCGTCGAAAGTATTCGTTTCTGTAAGAAAATAAAAAATACGTGTGTAATGAATGATTTAAAATAATCTACCAGACGGACATGAAGACTTTGACTGCCAATAAAAAACTGTTGAAGGTAAATCCTCCGCTAACGCCGGTCACCGGTGACCCCCATGGCGTTTAACGTGTACTAAAATAAAAATTAGGCATATACCCTATTCTACCATCAGATTCGTTTATACTATAATAAACAATGATCGTAAGTACCTATCATTTACCATGTAATTCAGAATTAACCAAATGACGTCATTACATGTACCTACTTCACATTAATAATGTATGAACGCAACAAGGATATGCATGCCAAAAAAAACAATCGATTGCGTCATTATTAAGTTTTGAAGTGTCGAAAGTCATTGGCATCTTTGCCAATACCATTTTTATCGTCACAGTGTAAAAAACATTCTCTAAGTCCTTAGTTTATTATCACGGTCAAAGGAAGCAGAAATTATTTATATTTCTGTTTCGAACCATAGAGGGGTCTAACGCTGTGCTGTAGGCTGCGCAACATCGCCGCAACCTGGGCTCGCTGCCATTGCAGCGGTAAGTCCCCTCTTTGAGGAGTGGCTTGAGAGACGCTACGGCGTCCTCACCTACCGCCTGACGCAGGTCCTCACCGGACATGGAAGTTTCGGGAGGTACCTGTGTCTGATGGGGCGGGAGGAAACGCCCGGGTGTCATCACTGCGAGGACCGCCCTGAGGACACGGTGGAACACACCGTAGCGGAATGCCCTGCGTGGGCTGAGCACCGCCGTGCCCTCAGGGAAGTGATCGGCGATGGCGACCTCTCGCGTCCGGGTCTAGTGCAGGCCATGATGCGGAGCGAGGGGGACTGGGATGCCGTCTCCTCCTTTTGCGAAGCAGTCATGCTAGCTAAGGAGGAGGCGGGACGCGTGAGGCAGCGAAGCGCTGCCTCCTCGCGACCCAGCCATCGCGAAGGACACACCGGGCGTCGGGGATCGCGGGACGATCTCCGGCCACCGTAAGCGCGGGCCTGCGGACGGCGAGCATGGGTGGCTCCCCGTCCGACCAGAAACAGACCCGAGCGTACGGCGCGTCGCGTTCCGCGCGCGCCTCAAAGAGCCATCAGACCACCACAGATGGGGCCCAATAGGGCCGATGCCGATTCGGAGTCGCGGAGAACCTAACGGGTAACCGGGGCTCCGGCTCGACGTGCAGGAGAAGGAACGGGGTGGTTTTTAGTCAGTAAGAGTCTGACACTCCCTTCCGCCTCACCCAGGCGGGAGCAGTCATTCGATGATTTTCCCCCCTTAAAAAAAAAAAAAAAATAAAAAAAAAAAAAAAAAAAAAACATCGCCGCAACCGCGCACGCTGCTCATGTGGAAGAACCTCTGTGGTTTGAAACTAAGGTACATTCGCCTTATTTCAAACCTTGTATAATCTTGTAGATAAATAAAGTAGAGAAGAAACATATTGGAGGTTGTAATGTATTTATTTGAAAATCAAGATATCGAAAAAAGTAATGATAACTGAATATTTTTTAAGTGGCCTGTTTCAGAAAGCGGGCCATCTTTGGCGAACATACCTTAGTAGAGCTTTTCTAAGTATTTTCACGTGAGTAACCCGCGATTTTTAGTTTCGAAATTTTAGACGCAGATGAGTGAACCGTTATAAATGATAATCAATTTGTTTTAAAAGGCTACGTGGTTTAAACACTAGTTATAAAGCTGAAAAAAAAACATTCTAATATGTTTGTCAGCCAGTAGGACACAACCAAACATTCGTCATGACTGTATTCAATTTGCGAATTACTAATGAACATACCAAGGAGTCCTGACATACTTGTCCTCAATTTATTGTCCTTTGTTAGCACACGTAAAAGAATGTGATATTCAGTGCTTTTTGTTTTTACAAAGTCTTCATTTAATTTTAGTAGCAATGAAATTAAGTCGCCGACGTTGTGGGATTCTTTAAACACGATGGTCTATAAAAATAAAAGAGATAAGAGAAACTATCAAACCGCAAGGTATGCCAACGAAGTTTAGGGAAAATAAACCACTGGAAGAACTCACTACCTGGGAGCTTACTCTTGAATCCAATTCCGATCGATTGATATTGGTATTGTGAAATTTCGTACTCTTGAGTTGCAACCCTTAGCGCTCATTGCATCCGTATTGCATGGATATTTAATGACCTAAATGGTATTGGGTTTGACTACATATTCCGTATTCTAAATGCTATTTTAACAGCTACGATAGGTGTTGTATAGTTTTGACAATAAATAATTATTGAGATGTTATTGGATTGAAATTGCATTGACATTGGGAATTGGTTTCAAGAGCCAGCACCCTGGTCAGTTATTAACATAATACGAAATAGCTAACCCAGAAATAAACAATAACTATAAGTTTTTTTACCGGAGGTCTAATTCCCCCCTACCCAATCTCCCCAATCCCTGAATCCCCAACAATCCTCAAATTCCTAATCCACAAAAGGCCGGTAACGCATGTTATAACGCCTCTGGTGTTTCTGGTGTCTATGGGCGGCGCCGATTGCATTATCAGGTGATCCGTCTGCTCGTTTACCGGGTTATCCCATAAAAAAAGTATTTAGCAGTCATTCAGTATTAATTAATCAATTCTTGTGTTCATAACTTCTAAAGTTCACACATAAACACAAAACTGGTCCTTCAATACGAGTTTTTTGTAAACATATAAAATAACGTTACATTAGATCGAGTCTAGGTAACTTGATAAAAAAATAATTAGCATAAATAATGGCAAGACCCGGTATAATAACGGGTCGGAATGACTCAGAGGGCAAACTGGCAAGGTTGTTTGAAAATTCTTACTTTATATTTTCGCTAGATTTAAAAAATTATGTGCAGTCTAGACTACTAATAAAATCGTGGCTTCTTTTGAGAGATCTAGGTATTATTAGTCTTTTTTCGGATACCTGATCTAGTAGGTAATGGCACTAAACCTTGAACATCAATTTCGAAATTCCCAAAACTACTATAAAAAACATGAAATAAACAACACCCCTATGTAATTTGATCCTTGACCAAAGACGCTGTCTCTAATTAGAACAAGTTAATACTTCTAATAGGCATTAATAAGGTCGAAGATTATCACTAACCCGCCTAACACATTTTCATTACCATCCAAAATACCCAATTTGTTCTAAAACTCCACGGTATATCCCGACAAAAACCTTTTAAACTTCTATTCTCAAACTACAAAATACCCGATGACTAACTACATCCTTATTCCTTGTATCCTTCGCGCAATACAAATATTAAAATAAGGCCAGTGGGCGACGAGTCGGTCAGTTCAGACTTGGAGACGCCACCGACGGTCCCCGATTATGATGCGTACACTTTTATATTTGAACCAATTGATGTAAGTACTAGGAGAAAGGTCGGAGTTACTGATAGGTTAGTAGATCACTTTGAGACACTAAATTGAATTAATGGTTATGTGGTGGCATTTGGAAGTGCGGTAATAGTTGTGACGTTGATGGTTTATTATGTTTGAGAATTGTAAAGACAAGTTACGGATGTTAAATAGTCAATGTGACTAAACGTCTAGGAATATAGAAAAGCATCTTCGTTCTTGGATGTCTGTCAGACGAACTATCTAGTCTAGTTATGGTTGTCGTAATTAATGTTATTAGAGACTCAAAATTACAAATAGCAGCCGTAAAGTTCATTTTAGTCCTTTAAAGATAAGCAAAAATATAGGTATTGTAAGCTTTATAGTTACACCAATTAAGTTTATTGTTGTGTAGCCTTAGAGTACGCATATTACTTACATAACTTACTTTCAACCTGTGACCCTCCATACTTAACATTAAAATTTATTTTGAAAGCAAAATATGACACTTTAAAAGGCACTTCTCCAAAAGCAATTAAATTTCAATTACCTACAATATTGGTGACGACATTTTTAACTATGTGACATGGAGCGTCCCAAATTGTGGGCAATGACCCGTATCATTTTCAACTCAATGACGATGGACCGAAGCGAAGGACCACAAAGGTCTGATTATGCGTCAACGCGTCTTACAAACGATTTAACAGGGAATGTACCTTGACTTTGTTGTGATAAAGAAAATAAAATAATAACTGGATATAGAAGGCATAGTTCTATTTTTGGACGTCTAAAAAGAGTCTTAAGTTTTTTTATCCAGTAATTTTATTAGACTTAATGTAGGTATCCCACCTAATAGTGTCATATTCTAAACAACAAGAAATATTTCAAACTCCTATTACACCTCCTCCTGCTGTTATTTTAACTTCCCAAATTGAACAACCTTATAGTTTTTCCGATACAACAAATAGCAAACGAGATGCTCGACAGATTTTTCTGTCACACGGTCATATGGGCAAAGATCAGAAACCAATCAAAATTGTCCCTTATGCTACAAATAACAGAGATCTAATAACATTGCTACTCGTAAAGACTAGTTATATTCAATCTACCTATGTGGCAACCTTTACTCAGAAAGAGGCGTGACATTAAATATGCCACAAACAGGTAAAAGATAAGAAATATCAACGTGTAACAGATGACTCAATATTCCAAACGGACTTGCCTCAAACGAAATTACAGTTACCAGTACACAGACTGTACAGAGGACGAATAACTACGTGAAAGAATTTAGGTTACTTGTAAATACTTGACGCTATGCTATTTCACAATGAATACATAAGAAATACAGTATTAGCTGCTTAACTTAGCTGATTATGGACATAAAGACCAAAAAAGGACCAGACGTTTCAAGTAGTTACTGAAATCGACATTGCCAAAAATTTTCCTATATTATTATTCCTTTTATATCGATTATCGTTTTAATTACAACAGAATATAATATTTGTGATAGGTTACCATATAAAACTTAATAGACTTTAAGGATTATAACTCTTGTCTAGTTAGTGGATAGCAACTAACTAATAACTGTTTGTATGTTATGTTTATAAGCTTAAACATTTTGTCATAGACGTTTGGACCTGAATATAACATTATTGGCTAAACTTGCAACCGTAGTAGAGAAAACGAACAACACTTGACAGGGATTATCTACAAGAAACAAAGAAACCACGCATGCCTCTAGTCTCAACAAAACAAAATCGTAAAAGAGTAAAATGCTCACGTCGATAATAAGACAATTCAATTAGTTGGACAGTAGAAATGCGTCAACGCTTAATGGCACCCCCTAATGGTATTAACCGACATAAAAGGACTTTAACTGAGCATTAAATCATAGTAATTGACGTAGCGTATGATGGTCGAGACTAACTATAGGGGAAAGGTGGGAGATGGAAATCTCTATTTTAGCAAGGCAGAATAGATTTTACCCACTGGAACGTAGATATTTGTACCAAAGGACCACGGACGTTTGGTCCTTTGGCCTATATTTTTGTTGGCTTCTTCACGCATGACTGGATAGGTCCAATTGGTTTGTTTGTTGTTTGTTGTACAAATGTGTCAATTGACTTAGGTATTAATTTACCTATGGATAAAAATTTCAAGTGCTTGTGCTTTACCCACGGAATATTTTAGTGTTTAAAACGTTTTAGATGAAAAACTTTACTTTACGATTTCTTATTTGAAAAGGATTCAAGCTCATACGTAAGATGTGAAGAATGTTGAACAGGCTTCGTAAATGTTACATGAACTCGATATAATACAAAGACATTAACACTAACATTGAATGTCTTGTCTTCAAGCTTTTTAGTGTATTCTACACACGTTAACAGCCTCGGAATAGCGGTAACATACATCACCATCGGCATAAATATTTGTTGGACATGCATAAAAAATGGTGCCATTCGGTTAAACGCCTATAATTTCACCTATTCTTAGAAACTATTGTTGCGTTGTTATTGTCGTTTGTAAACGGCGCGGGCGGCCATATTGCAATTTTTGACGTAACTTTGACAGTTCCGAATTAAGACTGGCTAGTCAGAAAGTAAGAGCACGTTTAAAACATAAACAGTTTTAAAATGAAAAGAGATTACCTTCTTGTTATCAAAACAAAAGTAGACAAACAAAACAAGAAAAGCATCTAACTAATCTAAACTATTGTAAAATATATAATCATTAAAATAAAATAACTACTAGTATAGTCCAATTCATTAAAAGAAGCCAATCATATTTAATAATCTATTCACATAAAAACAGCATCAAAGCAATAGAGAAAGATGCTTACTTTTTTATTGTATACCACAGACTATAAATAGCCGCGAGATGAATCATTCAACCGTTCATTCAATTAGATTGAATCTTTTTTATTGATATCTGTAATGAGCGATCATTGTACGGAAACTATGACACAAGAATGAATGTAATGAGTTTTGAAAAAAAAAATGTTTGCTTATAAAACTGTGACGTCACGCTAGCTGGGATATGTAGAGGAATGAAAACATTATTACTATATTCAATACACTATCCCATGTAGAAACTAAACTCATACCTATTATAATCTTTGCTAGTCCAAGTTTCTAAACGATTCAAATATCTAGGTATAGCTATAAAAACGCTGGTTATGAATACCTACTTCGGACTTAACTTTTTTCCAGTAAACTCCAGTTACTCCTACGCGATGTCTATTGGATATTTGCAAGATTAACTAGAAGACACTACCGATAAGCATGCATGAAAATAATGATGAATGTAGATGTTTCTAAAAGATAGTTAGGTAATTGATTCCCAAAATCGCGTTAAATGCTTACTTCAGTGGGAGACAAGTTAAGTACTTAAGTATTTATTCTACAACATAACATAACATTACGCCTTTTATCTCCGAAGGGGTAGACAGAGGTGCACATTACGGCACTTAACTCGTCGAGTACCGGTTTTATAGACACAATTAAAGAACAATAGGTCGCGGTCACCGGTGACCGCTTGGTGCTTGACAGTTTAATAATGAAACACCCACTTTTCACTATTTATGTTATGAATCCCATGTAATAACCTATTGCCATATACCGGGCACAATTCCAGATTACGAGATACTACTGAGATTTTTTTAAACCCAAAGTTATACTTTGTCCGACCCGAGACCCCTCACCCGGCAGTAGCTCCTTGCACTCGGCCAACGAGGTAGTCTGATTTAACTTACAATTTATTTATTTTACATTTATCAACTAAACACGGTAGACTTTAATAGAAATACAGAAGTGACATTAAGTTGTGGTTTCTTGACATTAAGCTCAAACCACACCTTAAAAATATTTCCCAATATTAAGTATTTTAAAGTAGCTAGTTAATTAGGATGACACATAGTATTACGCTTTATACCTGACCTTAACATCTAGACTTCTATAATGTCAATGTTAGCCGCCATTTTTAAGGAGTGGTCCTTTTTGTTTGCGTATTTAAGCACCATTTAAAATACCAATTTCTAACCACATTTTTTAACTAAAAAAGGAAATAGTATTAGAAAGATCTTGTTTTACTGGTTAGCTGAGTTTTAGACCTAGTTTTAAGATCTAGATTATACGCAGGAGCATATATTTTTTGTAAAAGAAAAGATATTCGTTACCAATAGTTACTAGGTAATATTACCAATATACTATTACATAATTTAAATTAGATAAGTAATAATAACTACTATAATATTAATTTTACCAGCACCACTTATGTTATGCAGAAGAAGATACCGTTTACCTTCTCCCCTTACACCAAACAAAACGTTTCATATTCCGAACTACTAAAAAAAATTAAGAAAAAAAGAAAATCTAATATTTCGGAACTAAGGACCAAAACCAACGCGCAACTACTTAGACAACAAACATATAAAACAATAAAAATACATTCTAATCTAAATTACTAACCCACTTTGACAACCAGTATAATCTGTGAACGTTTCTTCCATTGTAGTCCATTTTAGCATAAAATCCGATATGCATCCATTAGGACATCACTTAAACTTAACACTGCACAAATGTCAAAAAACCACTAATTCTAATACCTAGATACAAAACCACTAGTACTAAAAATAAACGACTAATTCTTGCACAGTATACCACCAATACAATGAAGTATTAAAGTCAACCAATCATAATAGTTACTACAAACCAATCAATACGCTACTAAATAAAAAAATCTTCAAGAACCCATAGAACAAAGCACTATCTTTTGTTTATTTACATGTTTTTTATCCAACAAGATTCCTTTATAAGAGAAAAACCACTTTTTCTGTTCTTTCAACGAACACGAAGCGACATTGATCACTACACTGAGGTACTGTCACACGAATCGGCGCGTACGCAGCCCACAACAATACCTTGGAATGCGGCGACGCAAGCCGCTCTGTATTAATTACTGCACTTATATCATACACGGTTACGGTAAGTGAATGTAGGTAGGCATATACAGGTTTTTAAGGATAGCTAGGTCACTGGTTCTTTTTTTCAGGTTAAGTGGACTATGTCCTTTTATGAGACATGTCCTATCATCACCATAATTCCTAAATAAACAGATACAACAGATACTGATACAAATAATAGGTGGTCTAAACCACAATTCTTTTAGTGTAGATCATCGTCCACACTAAAAGTATTCTTAACTCGTCGAGTACCGGTTTTATAGACACAATTAAAGAACAATAGGTCGCGGTCACCGGTGACCGCTTGGTGTTTGACAGTTTAAAGCATTGTCTCTCTATTAAAAAATCCTTAATTACACCCCAAAAATTAACCATCTTCAGACCATTAACGGTAGTCAATTTACTTGCACATATTTAGAAGGAGTAAACAAAGCTTGGAAAGCATTTTTCTTAGCCATACAATGATGCAACGCTATTTCTAGTAAACTTCTTTCATGAATGATAACTGA